CTAAACTGTCTTCCTATTTACCCTAGCAAGTAGCCATTTGAGTGAATAAAAAATCATTGATTATCATAGAATTCAGCAGAAGAAAATTCATTTGAATAAAACTGATATAGAGACAGACTAGGATTAAATTCAATTCAATTCACATTACTTTATGAATTATATTTCTAACTATGTTCTAATTGAATCAAATAAAGTCTTAGCTTTGGTAAAAAGTATTCTATATTAGAAGGTAAAATGCATATCACAATATACATGCCCATTTAAATAAATAAGAACTCTAGTTATATAATAAATTTGTCTTAACTCACATACAAATTGCTCTAATACTCTTCAGAATTACTCTAACTAGTACCATAAAACTAGTTTGATTAAACATGAAAGCTGAAACATCCACCTTACATTTAGTTTAAATTCCATTACCAGGACAACAAATATTTATTGTCCTTAACATGATTCTCACTGTGTATTGTCCCTGGCACATAGTGATGTGTAAGACTATTAAATTATAGCTTCAAATGTAGCTAAGTATTCATATTAAGTTTTTAAAAAGTGACAGAAAGCAACAGACTATTACATATGGCCTGAATAGAAATTTTGTGTGGTAAAAGGTCACTGCAAACTGGAACGTCTTCTAGAAGGGCACTAGGTTTTCTAGAGAATTAAGTTCTTTTGAACAAACTTGATCTATATATGGAGGAGATTAGGAAAGGAAAGTTCCAGCTGTTCAAAACTCACAGCTGAGGCTGAGAAGGTGGGAGCCTAGGGAGGGGCAGGTGGAACACAAGGCTTGTTCATGGGAGTCTTCCAGGATGGAGAAAGGTCTTTTCTAGACTGTCTCCATTCAGCCCAGAGATTTCTGGGCAGGGTTGCTCTGCTCATCGAAAGTGGCTTGGAGAGTGAAGATCCATCTTGTCCCACGGAAGGAAAACTGCAATGAAGCCAGCAGTGGCAGCCTTCCATACTCCAGAGACTCCTCTATGCACTCTTGTGTTATTTCTACCTATGGTCATGCAATTTTTAATGTTGTATTTATTTTTATTTTTTATACTGAGAAATACTTTCCCCACCTACCTACGCACACATTTATAACAATAAAGTGCACACATTTTAAATATACAGTGTCATAGATTTTTACCTATGTATACACCTGTGAAATATTGAACCATTCCTTCACCAGAAGGTTCTTTAATGCCCCTTCCCAATCAATATGGTTAATGCCACTTTGGCTATTAAGTGTGTCTTCAAAATGCCCTGCCAGGAAATTTTTTATTTTCATATTGAAAAATTTCATACCAAAGTTGACCATATTTGCATGGTGTACATTTAAAATGTAGTCAGGCAATAAGTTGATATTACTTTAATAAATGTGATTTTTAAAATGTGGAAAAAATGCTAAATGTTCAGAGAAAGAAATATATTAGATCTGGGCAGAAACAATAAAAACAAAACAAACAAACAAAAAAAACCTCTCATTTTTCTCCCAAGAATTCTCAATCATGAAAGTTTAGTTTTTTTGCACATAATTTCTTTCATAATTATATAACATAAATTATGTCCTTCTGAGGTAAGGTACAAGATTATTATCATTATTACAATGAAAAGATAATAGTTAACACTTATGTAATACTTACAATACTCTTAAGCACTATTCAAGCACTTCATATAAGTTATTTTAATCCTCACAATAATAATGAGTAGGTACTCTATTATTCTTATTTTGGGAATGAGGGTGTACATAATTTGCCCAATGCTAAAGAACTAGTAAGGGGCAAAGTCAGGATTTGCACTTAGAGAGTCTAAGGCCAGAGTCACTTCTCTTGCTATATACCACACTCTTTCTGAGATCCAGAAGTACAGCAGGGGCAGATTATTAGACAAAGAAGAACATCCACAAATGGACTCTTTCTTACTACTTCTGAGTTTCTGGCAATTATTCTTTGCCACATAGTAAGATCAATTTCCGTGATCTCAACCCTCCCGCAGTCTAAATAGCACATGATGTTTGTCATCATCATTTTATTTCTATTGAAAGAGGAACAAAATAATGCTTCAACAACTCATGCAAAAGCAAAAAATGAAAGAACTGAGTACAAAAATTTAAAATGTCAGAATCATTTATAGCTATCATTTCTTAGTTATAGAAATGTAGCACGATTATATCTAAAGCACTTTCTTAGATGCTGATGTGAGACCCTTTTACTTTTCTGACTCTATTTTAAATCTGAAAAAGCACAGGTAATACACACCTAAATACCTTCTGCCATTACTTTCTAAAAAGTTCAATACTGATATCTGATATATAAGCTCAATTTTAAAAATAAAATAAATGCTTATAAATTGTAAAATGTATACATTTTCTCATTTCCTTCATTAGAGTTGCCTTATTTTTTAACCATCATGAGGAATCTTAATATTTGAATTGAACAAGTATATTTTCTTCCGTAAAGCTTCTTTATTATTCGCATGAGTCAAGAAGAGTCTTTATTGACTTTACAAATCAAGAGTAAAACACAAATGCTAATTGAGCAGATTGATGATTAGATGGAGAAAAATGAAGAAAGGAAAGATGCCAGCACAAAGATAATATGGCCATTCATTTTTACCCCAAATGAATCAACTACTGCTTATGAATGTGGGTCTCATACTAATTCTGGCAGCAAACGATCCAGAGCACCAACCCTGAGAGGAGGCCCATGTCTGCATGCAGACAGCTTTTCCTTATTTCTCTTGCTAGAATACACCAAGTAGCTGTCTCTCCTTTGTGGGTATCATCAAGTAACTCCTTAATGAATGATTATAAATACAGAGAATGTGGGAGACTCTCCTCCACTCCGAACTCGAAATACTCATCCGAAGATTAAAATGTTTTCTCTTGTCAAAGAAACTGGGCAACTAAGCCACAATATGCAGAGTCAGCAGGAATTGCCCTGGCTATTAGCTATCACAGATCTCATTTCTTGGCATTAGTTAAGTTTCTTCTTAAAAAAGGTAAACAATCTTCAATCTAATTGCAGTACAGATGAAGATATGGACCAATCAGTCTCCACCTCTATAATCTGAGATTTAGCATGAACTAGCTTGGTTCTTTTTATAAATGATTGTCTACCATGGAAAGTTAACAGAAGTTTTTAGACAAGTAACTTGCTATTTTAAGCTGTTATTGCTGAGCTTTCCCAAAGACATTGGTTGATCAGCGGTACAAGACCTTGCAGACACTAAACGGCAGAAATAAGCTCTTCTAAGGTTTTCTAAATCCTTCCTATTCTCACAACAAAATTCCTTCAGTCAAGTACTAGAGGATGGGAAGTAGCAACCCCATTACTTGTTAAAAACACCCAAGTGAATCAGAGAACTAACTGTGTAATAGAAATGCCACATTTAATTAGCCCTGAAGCAGGGAAAAAAGCTCTTTCATTTTAGAAAGGTGGGGGGGCCGTGAATAGAGATTTTTTTTTTAAAAAAGCAAACCTCTTACCTTTTGTAGCAATTCGTACACACTGGGTTTTAGTTTCCTGATAGAGTAAAAATGAAAGAAAATAGTCAATGTATAGATAATGTTTCCTGTTTCATAAACTATAACTATTATGAAGTTCAATTTGGGGTCATAAAAAGGATTATAAGCAATAGAATTACAGTATTACGGAGACTTCATTTTTTAATATACACTCTCATAAATTTTTTAAAAATCTAAAATAAGAACTTTAAAAAATTTTCCAGGATTTTCTAAAGATGTGGGTACCTCTTTCCCCTTGCAATAAAATAGGCCAGTTTGTCTGTGGCAACTAGTATAGCATTCTATTTACATGCATTGCACTTCTTAAACTATCAGAAAAATATTTGCAAAGCTAATACATATCAGATCCAAATATAAATTTAATTTTCATGTAGTAGCTGTAGACTCAGACCAAAGCTGAACATTATATACTCTCATTTGGATCCTAGCATGACTAAAGAGCTAAATGATAGCAGTTAGAAAGATCATCAAAACACTGTTTCACAGTTGCAGTATAATTTATCTATTCTTTTCTTTCTTTTAATTTAGCTGTTAGGAGTTAACTGTTTCTCAGCATAGATTATTTTTCTCTTCTTGCTAGAGAGAGAGGGGGTAGAGAAAGTAGAATTGGAAATAGGAAAAGACAAGGAAAATATTATTATTTTTTAATGTTGTAGAACGGCAGTAGGAGACACAGGCCTCTGCCAGCAGTAGAAGTATCTGGGCCCACTCCTCACTTCTCTAGGACTTAATTCATTCAGTGTATGTCTTTAAATACATAAGAGGTTGGAAAAGGTGTCAAAGCCAATGAACAAAACAGAGGCTATTTGTGTTCAAGATGCATTTTTAACTCCATCTTGAATAGTTCTTTGTAATTTCCTCTTAGGCATTTATTGTTTTTAAATTAAACAAAATAAAGCATTGAGGGAAAATTAGTAATTAAAAATAAAATTTTACACTTCTATTACTTAATTGTGACCTGAGGCCTTCATGGTAAGCTCCAAGAGATTATTTCACATTCCCATAAAGGCCCAAAGGGGTTTTGATTTCCTAAAAGCAATTGCTGTTAACTCTCTCTGGACATTACCTGCCTCTGCTGGCAGGAGCCACCACAATTTTAAAACTCTTTGCCAAGATAACTGTGAAATACATTGTTGCTATTCTGTACTTTGATTAAACCACAGTATAGATATATTAACAATTGGAAAAGAAAATCTATATCAAAGCTTTTAAAGGGTGCCAGAGAAAATCCTTCATAAGTAACACACATTCATTAACACTCCTCTCATACAACAGATCAAATAACAAAAGTTAATTTGGAAGCTTTCACCTCTCTAAAGATGAAAACCCTAACACAAAACTAGGTTTCCTACCTCTATGCTACTTTATACCCAGAACTGATGAATAACTTCCATAGTGTTCTCTTTTTTTTTTGAGCAGCTCAGTTGTACCAGGGTATGGAAGGCTACATAGGTAGGAAGTGGGTGTTGGACTTGCCTCTAAAGACCCCCAGTTAGACAGAAATAAACTAGAAGAGAAGAGCATCTTCAACCATGAGCAGCCTCTGACTTTGGAGCACATTTTAGAAGATGCTACGGCATTTTTCTTTGCCATCTATAAGCCAACCATACAGGTAGAAAGAAAGAAAAAGCTTTCATTCAAAAGCAGCTAATCAACACCCAAGGTTCTCAATGCAAACGGATTGTGATATCTTCCCATTAAACTATTCTAAGATATAATATGACTGATGCAACTGTACGTCATATCCCACCTTAGGGACTCAATTACACAAACCCAGCAATTTCCTATATAAGTCCATTAAAATGTCATTATTCCATTGGATTTTAAATTGTGCAAGTTTCTATTCTCAACATTTTTTTTTTCTCTATCCCCCTCTGCCAAAAACTAAATAAAAGTAAATAAATAAATAAAGTCAGTTGTAGCAGAGAAAAATCTCTCAAAGAGAACAGCATGAGACACAAAAGACCAGGTTGTTTCCCCATATATGGAACCACTGGTAGTTTCTAACATCCTGTAGTGTTTTCCTCTTCAATATTCATTTGGGATCGGCAGCCGTGTTCAAAACAACTGTGTCCAAAATGGGAAAAGGAGGGGGCGGCTGGGAAAACAGCTTCTGTGATAGCCCAGCAGCCAGTCATCGCCAGGCTGCCTTTCGCTTACGTTGTCAGCTATACCACAGGTGCCCTATTACTTTGTAATCAGAGGATTGTTACTTGTTATTTACTATTTGGCTAGAAAACCCTGAAAAGTTTATAAGCGTTTATTAGCCTGCTGTGGAACACGCATTCTGTTTATCCTGCAGTAAATTTAATCTTTTAAAGTGTGCCGCTACTGAGAGACGAAGACAGAACAACCCCTGATATTTCCTGGGGGTGGAGTCCTGGCAGCAGCACGCCCACCTTTGCAAATCGTTTTACTCACAGTTGCCACCGTGGTCCCCCCAGAAGAAGGAGCAAGTACAGGCAGTTACTAGGAGACAGACATCCTGTGAAATGTAACCAGCCTGCAGCCTCAGCCCTGGAGTAGGCTCAAAACTGTGCACACCGTTGAGAACAGAAACAACACTCCCTACACAACAATTTTCTTCTTCCTTCCTTCCTTTCTTTTTCTCCGGGACAAATGCTACTGAATATTTACAAAATTCGACTCCAGCTTTTCCGAAGGACAGTTGAAAAAGCCAATCTGGGAGGAAGCTCACCTTCTCCACACTACTCATTGCCTGGAAATAGATGTTGTATCCTTTGCGTGGAGCCAAAGGGGGGTTCCAAAAGCCTTGATAGGTCCTGTTGTCGCCCACTGTGAATGGGGCAGGCTCAGGTAGATTCCCTGGGGGTAGTTCCGCAGCGAAGTAATAGGGTGCACCCCCGCTCATGGCATTTTGGTAGGTGACAGGAACCTGGTAGCATTCCATGGCTCCAGCCTCTCTCTTGGTGCGGTGTGGGTGCAGCTCCTCCACAACAATCTGATAAGCACTTTTGGAAAAAGAAAATAAAAGCCACACATGAAATGATTGAAGATATTAAGAGTTTTTTTTAAAGGAACAAAGGGCTTACTATTAACATACCACATTTAAAACTATTTAAAGCCAGTCTTAACCCACAGCATTCATGTTTTCAGCTATTTTGCAACAAAATAGAATTTCACATGAATTTTGCTCTCCCCAGCACCAGAATAGTTACTAGGGAATTGAAAAAGGTGAAAAAAAAAGTCATCATAGAACTCTTCACATGTTAAAATACTGAGGAATAAGCCACATTAATAAGGACCCTGACATTAGCCAGAGACACATCATAGATTAAGTTCTTTGTCTGGTATTTTTAAATGTTTAAAGTTAACATTTCCCTTGAATTGGTATTATGGAGGGCCCAGCTCCAAGGTCCAACAGAATGAATGCCTCAGGGTGGTGCTAGAAGCACCGGTTTGTGGTTGTCACAGTCTTCTAGACAGAATGTGCTGACAGGCTTCTCCACCTCTTGACCTTGCCACGGCATCTACATTGGCTCAGAGCTATGTAGATCTAAAGCACAAGTGACATGCGGCAATACGGGCACAGATGGACAGAAATCTGTCCTCACCACTGAAATAGACTGCCTCCTTCTTCTGGAGTTGTTATTAATAAAATGTTACAAATTGTAGAAACAGATGGCATTTGGCCTATTAAAGCTCTAACCTAAGCCTTCTAATACCTTTCTTAAAAGTCTTAAAACTTTTCTACAATAGCCATTATTGTTTATAGGAGAGGGAAAAAATGCAATTTTAAAGATTTTCCTGATTTCTAATAATAATATTTGTAATCACTTTCTGAAACTGATATATTAATATTCTTCCTTTGTAGGAAATTCTTTAGGTTAAAAATTTTTTCAGGTAAAGTACACCTGGGAAAGTTGACATTATTAATTTATATATTATTAAAATATTTAAAAGAAATATGCTTAAAAATTCCTGAAAATTGTGGGAAAATGCATTGTGGTAGTTTATATAAATTGAACATAAATAAGCTGTGTGTAGGATTGCATATGGAATCTTGAGTCTATGACAAATATGCTCCTTCTACATAGAAAAATGGCACTATTCAATGGACCTTCAACAGCAATAGAATATTTTCTTTAATAGGCTTATAAAAAGAAAGAGGTTTGTGTGTGTGTGTGTGTGTGTGTGTGTGTGTAGAGAGAGAGAGACTGAATTTGCATCTATGAAAATTAAGACAGTTCAGAATGTATAAAATTCTAACTTAATGTAAACTATTATAAACAAAAGACCTTTATAGATTAAAATAATTATAATTTAATTTATAAATTAAAGATTTTCTTTTCTTCCTAAATATTCAAGTTCCCATTTTCCATCAAAATATTGCTAAGAACTTGATAGGGTAGACTCCATCTCCTTTCCTTTAGAAAGAGGACAGCCATTGTATTAATGTCAGAAATTGCAATTTGAACAAGCGACTAAGGCAGAAGTAGAGGTTATTTCAAATTATGTCTACTGCATCACTCTCTATCCTGCTGCCAAATTGAGTTGCTGAGCTAAGAATGCTATTGACAAGATACATGGTTTCTGAGACATCCATGGAACAAGCACTTGTCAATTTTAAAATACAGGAAATACATAAGCATAGCCCTAGAGAAAGAAGAAAAGAATGAACAAAGCTGACATCTGCTGTGTGAAGCAAATCTAGCCCTTTTTTGCTTTATTTTTAATTTATAATCCACATTTGTATGTTACACATTTGCATATCCTGGGGACACATCCACATATGCATATAAACTCCCACATCCATGCTCGCCAAACAAACCTTACATTCTTGCCCTAAAGAGCAATAATGATAATTACCCATCCTTGTTAATCATTTAACCTAATCATTAAAAATAAATTCCTCATTAATTATCTCGTATCTCTAGAAAAACCCAGAAAATCTAGTCAACATTCAATCTTACCTAATTCTATTAAATTGACATAGATTCTACATTACAAATTAAGGATACTTCATGCAAGACAGCTTGTCTCTCCAGATCTATTAGGAGCAAAGCAAATTGCCAGTGCTAGAGAGGAGTGAAGGAAGAAAAGGTGCAATCTGCTCTTTGGGAAAGAACTTTTGAGTATGGTTTCACAGAAAATAAAAATCAACACCTTGGGCTGAACTTTCAGACTGGCACTATTCTCCATTAAATGAATCATTTCAATTTTATAAGTTGGGAATATTTTAATAAAGAATATAAATTAAGAAAACTATTTCCACACACACACACACACACATATATATATACACGGATATGCTATTGCCATGCACTTTAATCTTATAATACATCTTTTCCCTGCTAATAGTATCCATTTATTCTTTGAATGATCATAGAAGAAATGAAGTGCTGTATTTTTGTTACTATTGAGAAACTGAGGCAAAGAGAAATTGAGCTCCCATTAAAACTTACACTACTAGCTTTACTTTCTTCTTTTTCTATTTTACACTAAATTGTTTTAAACTGAATGTTTGTGTCCCCCGCAAATTTCATGTTAAAACCTAAACCCTCAATGTGATAGTATTTGGAGATGGGGCCTTTGGAAAGTAATTTGTTTTAGATGAGGGTCCTTCACCAAGAGCCAAATTAGCTAGCACCTTGATTTTGAACTTTCTAGCCTCTAGAGTTGTAAGAATAAATGTTTCTTATTTAAGCCACCCAGTATTTTGTTACAGTAGCCCAAGCAGACCAAGATACATGCGTACAGAAAAACTTCTGAAAACTGGCTTCCAAGTACAATTTCTAAAATATTCTTTGTGCAATGACTGACATCGGACAGAAAGGTAGATAGAGATAACTAGATCTCCATACTCCATCCCTCTCCCCCTCCACCACTACCCCCTACCAGGCGAGAAATGTCTTCATAATACAACAGCTCAGTTTCTGGATACTTTTCCAACCCCAACTATGCTTCCCTTTACAAGCTAATAGATCAGCCATCGTACTTTATATTCAAGTGTGATTTCAAATAGGGTAATGGGCATTTAAATAAGTATTTGCAGAATGAATAAATCGTTTCTGCCTTTTCTGTTGAGTTTTTGCTTAGTTAGGACATATTTAAGATATTTTTTCTTTCTCCATGAATGTACATTTTTCACCTCAAAAATCCTGAAAAGTTTTTGAATAATAAGAATTTCCTCACTTAGCTTCCCTCCTTTGTCTTTGAATCAATTCATTCATTCATTTTCAATCAACAGTTACATATTTAACAGCTACCATGCAGGCACTTAGGATAGAGGGGTGAAAAAAAGTCCTAGCTCTCATGGACCTTATATGTATTCGCTTCTCTTTTTTGAAATTTCTAGTGTTCTACCACTGTTAGAATGCTTTCTGCCCCTCTCCAGTATGATACAGTTTAAAACAATAAAACCCAAAATATCTACTCTCTTTAAAACTCTGCTTATGAACCTGTGATAGTCCATAGTAAGCATTTAAAGTGACTGAGATAGCCACCCAAAAGTAGATATGCAGAGTCCCCTTAACTTAACTCACATATTCTCTTTTGCCTTCAACCAGAAATACCCCTCTCCAGTTTAAAATCTTGGTTCACACCTGTCTGTTCTACTGCTTTCTTTCCTTTCAGAACCCCCTCGGCATGCTGCCTTTTCAGCATACTGAAAATATGAAAATATCTTTCCTTATAATGATATCGCGAAAAATCCCCTAGTGGAATTTTACTGTCATTACTTGGGCTCCATCTTCAATCAGGTCCTTTCAAGACATATCTCTGTATGCATCTATTACTACCTTTTCATGCACATTAAGAAGTCCTGGGTACAGTTGATAATCAGATCAACTATAATCATGGCAAGTCCTTAAAAAGTGTTTATACTTAGTGAAAAGTGGCTATAAAATATTTAGGCCATTAAATATGAAATTTCCAATTTTGGATCAAAAGTGTAGTTTGTTATATCTCAAACAAGAAGCAGTACAATTAGTTGAAGTATGTGCCTAAACTGTCGACACAGTTTTGCCATCTTAATGGTTGCTTGTTTATGCCAGCAGCAAAGAAGCCTGGAGAGCAAGTCGCAATGAAATCGCAAAAGGCATTTTCCACACCTTATTGAGAATTGAATATTTTTCCTCGTAAGAAGTGGTCCAACACCTGGAAGAAGTTGGAGTCAGTTGGTGCCAAGTCTGGTGAATATGGTGGATGACAGTTTCTAAGTCCAGCTTCTGTAGTTTGAGCAGCATTGTTTGTGTGACATGAGGTCCAGTGTTGTCTTGTAAGAGGATTGACCTGTTTCTGTTGACCAATCTCGGCTGCTTAATCACAAGCATCCGCATCATTTTGTCCAACTGGGTCACAGTAGACATCTACTATAATTGATTAACCAGGTTTCATGAAGCTGTAGCAGACCATATAATGCTGGACCACCAAACAGACATCATTAGCTTTTTTTTTGATGAACATTTAGTTTTAGACTGTGTTTCTGTACTTCACCTGTATGCAACCATTGTGCTGAACGCTTGCAGTTGTGAAAAAGAATCCATTTTTCATCACATGTAATAATATGGTGTAGAAATGATTCACCTTTATGTTGTGACAGCAAAGAAAGTCAAGCTTTGAGACAATGTCTCTTCTGATGCCCGTTTAATTCAAGCGGTACCCATCTATCCAGCCTCTTTACTTTGCCGATTTGTTCTAAATGGTCCAATATTTTTGGAATATTAACATCAAACCTTGCTGTTAATTCACGTGTAGGTTGAGAGGGATTCACTTCCACTACAGCTTTCAGCTCGTCATCATCCACCTTAGTCTCAGGATGCCCACGTGGCTCATTTTCAAGATTAAAATCACCAGAATGGAACATCTCCAACCACTGATGCATTGTCCATTCATTAGCCACACCCTTCCCAAACACTTTGTTGATATTTTGAGCTGTCTGCCCTGCATTGGTTCCACGATGGAACTCATATTAGAAAATAACATGAATTTTTAATTTATCCATGGTTTC